AACAATAATAATAATAATGATAAAAATGATAATAATAATAATAATAATAATAATGATGAAAATAACCAGTAATATTAAAAATTAAATAATAATAACAATTTACAGATTATAGTTTTAGTAACTTTATGATGATTAACCGTGAAAAGGGAGAAACAACCTTATATGATTTTTAAGAGCATATATTAATGAAGATGATATTACAAATAAAATATATGATTAAAGTGTATAATATCCTATATAAAGAGCGTGTGACTCGTGTGACCATTGAACCAAAAATATAATCAAATAAAACTTTAAATTAAATATCTTTCCTATAGCTTTAATTGATTTAAACAGTCAAAACTATCATAAAGTAATAAATATTTAATATATTTCTTTCAACAGATTTGCTATCTGTCTCTTTAACCATAAAAGGACCAGATGACACGATGGGCAAAATATTTCGTGAGAGAAATCATTTAAGACTCATTCCAAGCATCGTTAAATAAACAAAAAAAAAAAACAGATTTCTCACTTTTTCCAATATTTTAAATACATAAGTTTCGGTCCGGAGCCATGACGTTGAATAATTCTAGCCTCCGAAATCATGACATATCCCCGCCAATATTCTGCCTTATCCTCCAATATCCTGTTCCCCCACAACATTTTGTCCTGGCATCCAACATTATGTCCTGGCCTGCAATATTTCGTCCTTCTTGCAATATTCCATCTTAACCTCCGATATCCCGTCATATCCTCCAATATTTCGTCTTAACCTCCGATATCCCGTCATATCCTCCAATATTCCATCTTTTACCTCCAATATCCCGTCATATCCTCCAATATTCCATCTTAGCCTCCGATATCCCGTCATATCCTCCAATATTCCATCTTAGCCTCCGATATCCCGTCATATCCTCCAATATTCCATCTTAGCCTCCGATATCCCGTCATATCCTCCAATATTCCATCTGAACCTCCGATATCCCGTCATATCCTCCAATATTCCATCTTAACCTCCGATATCCCGTCATATCCTCCAATATTTTGTCTAATCCTGCCTTCTAGTCTAGTATGCCTCTCTATTCTCCAAAAGAAACGCCCTAGCGCGGCGCGCGCAGATGTTCAGGCTTTTGTCTGCGCTTGGTTTGGTTTCTCAGTAAATCTTGCACCAATTATTTGTAACAAAGATTAATAATTTACTATTTTAAAATCTCATGGTTTACCCAACAATTCAATACTTATAAACCGTAACCATTTAATTATTTAACTGAAACTATGGAGTATTTTTCTTTAGAAACAATGCAAAAGTATAATTCAATAAATAATGGGATATAAAAATAAAGATCTTTTTTATATATATTTAGGATATCCTGATAATTTTAGGAATTTTCTTTCACAATTTCACAAGAAAACAAATCTCTTTAAAATCCTATTTTAAATACTCCATGTCCCTGAGTCAAGGAACCAGTGATGATATATCTGCCTTTCTCTCTGATTACAGTGCAGATAAGTCAGACTAAATTATTCAATTAAGCGCTGGGAATTAACTTTGCAGTAATGCTTAACTGAAAATCAGCAACACTGTGAATAATTTGCAAATGTTGGTCTTGTTGTGTTTATTGCAGTTTTTTCGTTGTCTATATACGTAGAAACAGTTTTATTTCCGTGTATACAGCTATTGCATGATATATGTAAAACTGAATCATAATTTAAATTAGAATAATAAATAATATTTTTATGGATAAATCTAGAGAATGTTATCATCATATTCAATTATAAAATGCACTAAGAAGTTATTTTCAGTGGAACTTTAACAATTTCCGAGAATTTTGCAAAAGAATCTGAATTTGATATCAAATATCACTTAAAAGGTATTGAGCTTTTGCAACCAAGTGTGATTTTCTAATTCCTATATCTTTAAGAACATTGTGTAAAAGTAAATAAAAGCATAATAATGTACAGGGCTACACACAAAGGATGAGGCTTCAGAGACGACTGAACGAAATTTACATAATCTTTTCCTTAAACTCATGATTCCCTGCAACATTAAACTTGTTGCTTTCTTTGCAAAATTGTTAAACAAGTCATTCAAAGATAAATTCAAGACAGAAGACTTAATTTACCCTTAGAGTTGTCATATTTTAGGAGTTTCAGGTCGTCTTTACATTTTCATACTTTGTGGGTAACCCTATGCCTAACTAACAATTATCATATTACAAAATTAAGTTCAGAAAGAATAGAAAGTGTAAAAAATTAAAAGAATTAAGAAATTTGCTTGTTCAAACCAAGAACACGTGAAAGAAGACCAATCCAAGATGGCTACCTGAGTACGCATGGGATCTGAATGGGTCGTCTTCTATTATCTTCTCTGTAGAATTAATCTCTTTCTCCCACTTATCCTCAGGATCGGAACTAACTTCATTCTGAGAACAAAATAATTTTAAATATTAAACAATCTTTAAGATCAGCATGCACACTGCACAGTACAGTACATGGCAGTATACATAAAAGTAAATTTTATTTATTTACTAAGAAACTTTTCAAACTTTAATAATGTCAACCTTTTAAACTTATATTGTAATAGTTGGACAAAAGTTATACTTTCTGTGAATCTTAGTTTTCAGATTTTGTAATTGAAAAATTATTTTTAATAAATGCATTTTGTATCAATCCATAGAAAGTAAGAAGACAAAAACAAAGCATGAAGGTTAAAACGAAAATAGAAGTTTGAAAATGAAAAAAGGTCAAACTTTGACCAAGATTTTATCTCTCTGAGTTTTATGTAAGAAAGTAAAAATAACTTTGGTTGAATAACTTTTATTTCAATTAATTACAGGAGATTAAACTTAATTGAGGTTCAATTAAACTTTTCATTATACCTCCCCCTTCCTTCATTTGGGACATTTGACCCCCATCCCCCCTTCGGGAATATGCATGAGTGCAGTCTATGAATACACCATGACAAGGGGTGTCAGTATAAGTTTTAACACATTTATATTGTCAGTTTGATCAAAATTGGAAGAACTGTAGAGATTCCGCAAAATCAAACTCCATAAAAATGGTCATTTAAATCAATGTTTGAAGAGGGAAAACTGCCAAAGGTTTGGTTCCGGCATTTAAACTAATTATTTTCGAAATAAATTGCGTCGGTCGTGCATATATAGCCATGAAACTGTGCAGACTAGACCAGAAATTCTGTGGTTGAGTAAATGCTTGAAAATTTCTCAAGTGCACGTGGAATTCAAGATGGCCGACACACATGTGCAAGCGTGCACATGGGAAAATGGCGGCAAAATATTTGTCTCAAAATTGTGTAAAGTTCAATAGAAGTCATATTGCGTATTTGACACAGTGTCAGTTCGCGACCTTAACACTCTCTCATAAAACTTAAGTTTAAAACCTCCATAGTCCATAAAGTGCAAAATTATCCAACCCAATTAAAAACAAATAAGAAGGTCATAATAAAATCACCTGCTGATCTCTGACAGGATTTCTTCCTGTGGTTTGAAAACTGTTTTCACCAGATGAAAATATTTCTGATTTATTAGAGGATTTCCTGTTCTCTGATCCATCTTGAAATCCATAATTATCCTGGAAATAATCCCGGTTGGTCGGCTCACGTCGGTAGTTGTCATCAGACCCCTGGTCAAGGAAGGGATTTCGTAAATCGTCGTTTCTGCGGTTCTCCGTCCTCGTCCTGGAGTAGTCCTGCTCAGGGTTCATCTTGTACCTTGGGGTTGGGGAGGAATTCTCCCGACTGAAGTAATCAAAGGAATCGGACTCCTTGCTCTTGAAATAATCTCTAGGAGCGGAATATGAATCCGTGTAGAACTCCCGGGGGTTCGAAACCTGACTCTTGAACCGCTCCGTGTCTCTGCTGACCTCGTGAGGTTTATAGAAACCGTATCCGGGACTAGTTCCGGCCTCAGGGGACTCCGAGGCTGAGGTCCGACCCGGAGAAGGAGATTGGGACGAATAAACTGGATTTATTTTCCCGTCTAGAGCCTCCAGTTCCTCGCTGTCTGACGAATGCTGGCTGTCGGCGGCCGCGATCAAATTTTCGGCGAAACTATGGCCGTTTGAGAGCTTGGGTCCGGAGCTAACATCGGGTCTGCCATTTTCTCTCTGAATTCCGTAAGGGGAATTCTCAGTGGAAATCTTGAAACCATTTTGTTCCATTCTAAAGAAAAATTATTTAAAATCTGAAAAATCTTAATTTAATCATAAAAATGATATATTTGTTTATATTTACTGACCTGAAGTACTATTGTACCTATAGTACAATGAAGTACAGAAGTCCACTGTACGTCACAATATTTGTTCTCGTATTTTACCTAAATCGTGAATTTTTTGTTAGATTTGTCTTGAAAATTTTGCATTTTCAGAACTGTTTTGTTTACATGATTCATGGAACAAATTTGTTAAAAAAGTTATCAGAAAAGTTCTGAATATTCAGTAATTTGTAAGAAATATCTTGATTTTATACCTAAAGTATTATGATAACAATAAGTTTTTTTAGAAATTTTTAAAATTCTAACTTTTAACATGAACACAGTAGAATTTCTGTTTGTATCCAATTTGTTCAAAATAACAATAATTTCAACCCTTATTTTAAGATTCCCCCCCCCTTGATTTCTATAGATACAGATACAGATACAGATACAGATACAGATACAGATACAGATACAGATAACGTTTAAGGAAATAAAAGATATAAATATTAGAAAGAAAGCAACTTTATTACCTTAAAAAGCTTGTGATGAAAGGAATCATAATTACTTTAAAACATTTGAATGCAATGAAAATTGAAAACAAACAAACGAAAAAAATGCCCATCAGTAATGTTTTCCTTTTCAGTAACAAAAATATTTAATCCCTCCCATTGCCAAGGATTAAAATGAAAATGCAACTTTTTTTATTTCGAAATATCCAGGACTGCTTGAAATACCAATGCACTGCCTGATATTTTTCCAAGCTGAACGTGCATTAAAGACATGCACTGACTTGACACCATATACAAGATTTCATTCACATTCAAACTATTTCTTTTGCTTGATCACGTTATTTACCATTCTTCATGATTAGGACATTTTACTAAATAAATCTTATTTCTTAAGGAAAAATTTCTGAGATATATGTTTAATGCTTTTTTTAATTATGCAATGATGTTAAGTACTCTTACATCATATATCATACTCCATTATGAATCTTCATAAAACCAATTTCTATCAATTTGATATCAGTCATAAGATATTTTCAACGTGTTTATCAGTATCGATTTATCATAAAGATATTTATTAATGTTTGTGTGAGAAAGGAATAAAGGCTTTTCTACGCCCATCAACCCTGATTGTCTAATCCTTTTATCTTTGTAAGGTTTACCCCACATTAGGTTGCAAAGATATAGAGATTAGAAATTAGAAATTAAAGGAAAAAACTCAATTGTAAGCAAACTTTTAAACACCTATAACATGTTATTTACGTTTAAAATTCAGTGATGGTGATGGACCAAACCTCTGTAGAGTAAAAAAGAAGATGTTAGTTCCAGAAATACTACTAATATTTTGTAAACAAACTATGAGATATTTTTAACAGTTTAAGAACAAACTATCAGATATTTCCAATATTTTGAGAACAAACAATCAGATAATTCTAACATTTTTTTCACAAACTAAGAGATATTTTAACATTTTGTTAACAAACTATAAATGATCTGATGTATCCGATCATTGTAAGTATAATCAATCGTAATAATTTTATAGAACATTTTAAAACTTGATTTAAAACCTAATCTTACTGAATCTTTTCTACCTTTGAGGTTTAGATGACGATAAAAAACGTTTGAAGCACCCCGCCTCCCTCTTAGAACAAATCATGCATGCCCCAGACTTCAATTTAAACAGTGTTATACTGTGTATAAAAAGACCACTACGTGATCGTGATATATTCTTAAAAGCCTAGAGNCCTTTCTCCTTCCTCCTTCCGGAATTATTTATATAAAAATGTTAACTTTTAGGAAAAAATTTAATTTCAAAATATTATTGTGTGCCGCATAGGTTCGAACAGGATGCATTATATAAACTTTAAACCTGAAGGGTTTTTGCAAAACTGTGTAGACAGTTTGATTGTGGATGTTAAACCGAACAATTACATGCTTTTTTCAGTCTCCAACCAAGTCCCGTTGTATAGAATTGGCCAAAATGTTCGAGTCATTCTTTAATTTTCTCAGAATCCTGGCCGCCATTGTTTTCATAGATTAAGCTAGCCTACAGCTAGCAATGTGTGTTTTCATAATCTTCAGTAAATTAAAAACTAGTATATCAAAATATTAGGAAACCAGTATATAAGAGGATTGGAAGGAACTATTATCATAATTTCGTGTGATCCATCCTGACATAGATACTTGATTCACTACGGTAGACATTAAACCTCTGACCAAAAAGTAAATCTAAATTAAGATTTAAAAATTTATTTCCGGATTTATGCAGGCATAAGGAAGGACATTAAACAATTTTTTTTCTTGGTAAGAAAAGAAACTATAATACTATGATACTAGATACTTTTGAAATTCTTA